AACAATGTTGCAATGAACAGTGATGATGTGATTTGCACGAATTGAAGTTGGTCTCTAATACCAAATTGATGTAGACTAGGAAGAAAAAACTAGGAATAAAAAGAGAAGAAGAAAGGGATGAGAAAAGAGAAAGAACTTGGGAAGGAAGTAATATCAATATTCAATAATAATCAAAGTATGTCAACAACAAATACCATATCTTTTTTATATATAAGGGGACCACAAACCCTAAAGTAAATAAATAGTTAGAATGATAACTAAACCAGGGGCGGCCCAACCCAACTAGGGGCTCTAGGCATAAATATTATGTGGGGCCCTAGTAATGTTTATTCAATAATAATATTAGTATTAAATAGTTATCAAAATATTAAAATGTTTATTTAAAAATTATTTGTTTTGTCTTTTTTTTTTTTTTGAGATACAACATACAAATTTAAGTTTAAATTTTGCAAATAAAAATTATGTTAACCGTAGTCAAATTTGGAGATCAAATGCAAATGATACATGCTATTTGTTGAAAATAAAGAAAAACATAATTAAAAATTAGTTTAACTAGTAAGACAACAATGATTGATTAGTTTCAAATAGTGTATTACTTCTACTCATTCTATTTTATAGTTATTCTTTTCATTATAAACAAATTGATCAAAAAATAGCCTTAAATTTAAGTTGTAGAAATATAAAATCATTATTAATATGTATTGTACGATAGACAATTGATTTTAATAGTAAGACTGCAAAGTGATAATACATATAATATAAACATTGGGTGAGATAAAAAAAAATAGGTTGAACTGTAGGCACCTAATTTTTTTTGAAAGAGTTTCTAAAAATTTTACGATAATACTACTTGTACTTGATTGAAGGTCTAAATACATTGGATAAATAATGTATTTTATTTGAAGTTAGCACTCCCTGTTAATTCAATTGTTAAAATGTATTGGAGTATTTAAATTATATCCCAACATGTAGATTGCATACCATTGTATAAAATTTTATTTTGGGGCCCCAAAATTTTCTTCTAGTATGGGGGCCCTAGGCAATGGCTTTAGTGTCCTATAGGTTGAGCCGGCCCTGAACTAAACCTCTGAAAAGCAAAATGACAAATAAATTCTAATCCCTACGTTTGCGCCTACTATAACGAAATATAATCCGATTCTTATCAATGGTGGTGCAAAATCATTACCGAAGCCAATACAAAATAAGTGTGTGAAGCATGTATCAAAAACCAAAACATCATATGATTCATAAAAACCACCCACAAATCAAAGATTTATGAACAGAACCAAGATTTTGTCAGAAATTTCATCAAGTTTTATTGGGAACACTCCTATTCAATTTGACTATTTGTCCATGATAGAAAATTGGTTAATTGACTGTAAGTTTTAAGGGGTATCTATGTTCCTATCTCGCGACGTGATCACTTTTTCATGTTTTGAGCACTAGTTTAACCAAAAGAAACCTTTCTTTGAGAAAGTGTACAATGTATTTGTTAGAGTTATTATGTTATATATTCGACATAAGTTAGTTTGTTTAGGGTAATATTGTAATTACTCTAATACTACACAATTATAAATAAAAGTGTAGGGTAACCTAAGCCTACACAACTGATTATTTTCCTATTTCTCTAATTCTCTTCTCCACTTTCCTCTATCTTTCTCTTAATCTATCTAGCAACCCTATTATCAATGATCAAACTATCGTTTCAAAACGAGCGAAACATCCAAAACGTTTTCATTTCTAAGGAGACTGAAACGAATCAGTAATGGGATTGAAATTATAATATTTCGAGGTATTCCATAATATTTTGAAATTTTTTATAATATTTCAATGCATTTGCACGATTGTTTTGGAATGTATCTAGGTATTTTAAGATATTTTGATATATTTTAACCAATGTTTTAGAAAAATAATTCTTAAATTTTTTTATTATGTTTTAAAAATGGGTCGAAACGTTTTCGTTTCCTAGATGACTGAAATAATATATCGAAACAAAATTTTGATCCTTGCCATTTATTGCTTTTACTATTTCAACTTGGTATCAGAGCACTAGTTCAAGACTAGATAATATCGAGAACATCGTCTACAAAAATCTGGAGTGTTGATTATTGCTGACGTTGTCAGTGATTGACGTCAACAAGTTCTGGCTAGGGAACACGCCACCCTAATCAATTTCTCATGGGGATCATCATGGTTATTTTTGTTTATTTTTTTGAAGACATCTGAGTAGGTTTTCTATTTTTTGAAGTATTCTTGGCCAAAAAAAAAGGGGACAAATTTTCGGATCTTTTTTATATGCACAATTTTCTCGGATTGACTGCTTGGATCTGGTATTATTGGTGCGGATTAGGTTTTGGGAAGAGACCCACGGGTTGCCTAGTTGTTTTTGGAGTTTTTGGACAGTTTTTTTGCTGCACGGAGGTGTTGACTACACTGTTCAGGGCCTGAATAGTATACGCATGGTCTGGGTTTGTGTTTTTGTTACTTGAATTTGGCCTCTATGTGTGTGTGAGGTCTACTAGTGTTTTTGACTTCACTGTACATGTTGCAGTTTTGATATCGACGCCGATTTGTGCATTCCTTTGGGCTGATTTTGATTTGTGTACTAGTATTTTGTGTGATTGTGGTGATTCTTTGCATTCTCATCCTATATTGTTGCCTAGATGGTTGGGTTTTGGTGCATAGTGCTGTGCATGCTGTCTTTGTTTGAGGTTTTTTGTGACTTGGGTTGTTGCTTATTGCTTGGTTCTACATTTGAGGGGTCTTACTTTTGACCCAGCTTGTTTAGGATGGTTTTTGGTGTTCTGGCTGTTGTTAAGGAGTTCAGTACAGTGTAGTGCTGCCGTTCAGGAACTGTTTCGGCCCTCGGCTCCCTGTTTTCTGGTTCTGTAGTCCATTAGCTGCTCTAGGTTTGTTGTTTGGCTCTTGGTTGTTTGTTTTGTGTTGAGTGATGGATTTCTAGGTTTCTGGAACAATTTCGTGTGTTATCGGCAATTTTTTTTCCTATTTGGATCTTGTTCCCATCCTTATGGCTGCTTCCAAGGATATAAAAAATCATCCAGTGGATGACGGTCGTGGTGGTGGTCGTTGTGGTGGTCGTGGTTCCACGTGGAGGTAGAGGCAATGAATGTGGATGCGCGGATTATTGCAAAGGTTGAGCATTGTGCTATGACACATATTGCTTATGAGATGTTATGAGTCCGTTCTTTACTCCGTGATATGGGACTTGATGTGTCTTACCCTATGAAGATGAGATGCATTGTGACCTATGAAGCACGGATACTACAAAATGGTCAAAGTATCGGTATTAGATACTTCTCGGATACGGATACCAATACGGATATGCAATCGATACGGCCGGATATTTATCCGATATAGTTAGGAAGTATCTTAGAATTAAAAAAAATAAATTTGAATTTCAGATACTTTAGGATATGTCGAGCATAAGGCAGAGTATTACTTGAATTTTTTGAAAAGGATAAGGACACTAGAGCAAATATGTTTGGGCTCTTATTTGTAAAACAAAAAAAAAATTTATGAATGTATGATTTTTGAATGATAGAATGGTTAATTATTATTATATATTTTTGACAGATGTGTGATTGACTTTATAAATCATAATTATTACATTCAATATAATAATAAAATTAAAAAAAAATATATTTCATGCACGTATCATTGCCGTATTGTCATATCGTATTCGTGCTTCATAGATTGTGACAATTAAGCAACTATTTTTATTGCAAGTAATCCGGTATTTCATGAGCATATTAAATACATCAAGGTGGATTGTCATTTCATTCATTATCTCTTGATGCGAAAGGAGATTATGACTTCATATATCAAGTCTGGCGATCAGCTGGGTGATATTCTTACTAAGCCGTTGGTTCGGCCCGCCTTTAGTAATTTATGTTCCAAGTTGGGCATTTTTGATCCATATGCTCCAACTTTAAGAGGAGTGTTAGAGTTCTTATTTTATATGCTAGACATAAATTAGTTTATGTAGAGTAATATTGTAATTAGTCTAATACGACAGTTATAAAAAAGAGAGTGTAGGACAACCTAGACATACACAACTGATTAAATTTCTATTTTTCTAATTGTCTTCTCTTCTTTCCTCTGTCTTTCTCTTAATCTATCTAACCCTAGCATTGTTTTTACTATTTCAACTGTATTCAATTTTAAGTGCTGAATTGTGCTATCAAATAAACTTTTAGATTCTGATCCCCAAAAAAAAGAAAAAAAAAAAAAAAAAAGACCCTTAGTTTAGGACTTATAATATAGGCAATTTATGCTTGGTAGTCCAAAGGTACATATTGGGATTCCTCATTCCAAGATGTTCATTTGGACGTGCATCAGATATATCACAAGATTTGTCAATCCTTTACAATTTAGTTGACTTGAATAATGAGTTTTTATGGCTTATGTTAAAGTCAATGAAATCTATTGCAATTAAATGTTAAGTAAAAGTTAAGGATTCTTGAAGAGTGACACGTCTTCAGTTTTAAAATTACATAAAATCTTGAATTTAAAATAGCACTGAGCAGTTCTATATTAGTAACATAAATTATTTTAGTTTGGATGTTTTTTATTTCTTAATCCCTCATATCCCTAGTGTTGTAATAACATTATATATATATATATATACATAGTCTAGCCATACCCGTATCCTACTTTTTGAGATTGTGCCGTATCGTCATATCCATATTCGTATTTGTACTTCCTTGGTTTGGATCCAATAGAAAATTTGTTTAATCATTTGGACTTCTTTTCATTTCGTATGATCAATTACATTGGATCTTTGACCTTTTGGAATCTAATTTAAAATCAACCTTCTGATTGGTTGGAGATGTCTTGTTTGATCCATTTAGACTGTGTTGTAGCATAGAGTTCCTAATTCTGTACATTTATCATCAACTCAATGTTAATAGTTTATATGTTGGATTTACTTGTAAAAGAAAATAAAATTGATTCGTTGGTTGGATTGGCATGAATCACAGGGACTTGGATTCTTGACCCTTTCAGCTGTGCTACCTTCTTCTGACTGCCAATCTGTCACCAATATCAGGGCATGTTCTACTCAATTCCAAATTATCTTCTTTTTCTTCTCATTGTATCTAGTAGCAGCCGCACAAGGGGGGCACAAGCCTTGTGTTCAGGCTTTTGGAGCTGATCAGTTTGATGAGCAAGATCCAGAAGAGTGCAAAGCCAAAAGTTCATTCTTCAACTGGTGGTATTTTGGTATATGTGGAGGTACTATGATATCACTTTGGATTTTAAACTACATTCAGGACAACCTCAGTTGGGGTCTTGGGTTCGGAATCCCCTGCATTGTTATGGGCCTTGCACTGGTCATATTCTTGCTTGGAACTACTACTTATCGGTTTAGCATCAAAGGTGACGAGAAAAGCCCATTTATTAGAATTGGCCAGGTGTTTGTAAAAGCAGCTAGGAATTGGCAAACTACCACTTCAGCCATATCCATTGAGGAGGAAGCTCGGGGAACCCTTCCTCACCAAGGTTCTCAACAGTTCAAGTAAGTGAATAACTTTCTGCGTAGATTTAATAAAATATTTTCCTCGACCTTTTTCATCTCCATAATTTTTTTTGAAATTTAGCCGACGGACGTGCAATCACTTTATACCATATATTGGGTTGATAGTTCATGTTCTGCACCAGTTTCACCTCCACATTGGATTGTATTTTCACTTTCTAGTGTCTCTTGAAACAAGCTGAATTGATATTGTTTCTGTGGGGCATCCAGTGCTCTCACAGAAATATTGGTCTTTTCTATTATTGATGGAATGTTACTGCAAGGCGAGGTGAACAAACTTTTGCTTAATGTTTCATTGTGAAACCCTCTGGTCTTCAATTGAATTAATGGTTTCTATCTTGTTCTTATTCGTTTTCACGGATTTGGGTTTTGTTACAGGATTGTTAACATAGCCTTGCTTGTACCATTGAGTTTGTTACAGGTTTCTTAACAAAGCTTTGCTTGCACCGGATGGTTCAAAGGAAGATGGGAAGGTATGTAGCATCAGTGAAGTTGAAGAGGCAAAGGCAGTTCTGAGGCTGTTTCCAATATGGGTGACATGTTTAGCATATGCCATTGTCTTTGCACAGTCGTCAACATTATATACCAAGCAAGGAGTTACAATGGATAGATCCATCGGTTCAGGCTTTGAAGTACCTGCTGCTTCACTACAATCTTTTATCAGCATGTCCATTNTGAGTGAACTTAAAATTCAAAGACGTATGATCTTATCTACTCGAACCGACGTGAAATTCTAAAATCGTGACTATTCAAGTGATTGTAATGAAGCGTAAGACTACCTCTGAGTTCTTTTCTATACCTTATGGTTCAAGGACTTTAAATAATTTTTCAAATAAAAGCGTAATGAACTATACTAAAAAGAGAACATCGAGAATGAAAAATAACAAGTAAATTGAATCCAAATCTGGAAAACAAAATGGGTACTGAATTAAACGTTAATGAAAGCAGTAAAACATCACCGAAGTGATGATTACAAGAAAAGTAAAATTGCTCAGAAGCAAGAAATAAGTATAAGGTAGGCTAGCTCTACGAAGTGTTTGTGTGTTTGATCGTGGATCCTTTCTCAGTAACCTAGCATCTGCTATTTATAAAGATGACGTTCAACCATCAACTCATTTTTTTGGCCACTATTGTGATCATGATCTTGTCCCATGAGATACGTGGATGTGCGCTAAACCGTCTTTAATTGGCGACTCATCATATCACATTTTTTCGTTTCTCAAGATTCTAAGAGTCATATTTTTCTAACTGCTCTATCTCTTACAAAATTCTTTGTGACCGTCGTATCTCTTTCATATATAAGTTTGCTTCTTTTGGGTGTAAACAATCTCATATAAAAATTCAGATCCTCTTAGTTCTAAATTTTGTGAAGTGTGTCGTTCATTAATCGTTAATTCTTTGTGTCGGATCAGCATAAAATCCACGAATAAGCTCAATGCATTTAACATAGAGGATTGAATTTAATTAAAACTGACAAATATTCAAATTGAGAGGATCTGACTACTGAAATGCTCAAAAGATATTCTCTTTTTTGAGGGACAAATTTCAATGATTTCCTGTATAAGGAAGTCTTTGGAACCACATACTAGTAGGTTGTTCACCCTACTTGTAACGACCAACAAACCACATACAAGTAGGGTGTTCACCTTACTTTACAGGTAAGAATTATGGTATTTCATTTTTCGAACGAACCACATACCGTAATGATTAACGAACCACATACAAGTAAGGTGTTCAGCTTACTTTACGGGTAGGAATTATGGTATTTCATCTTTCTACTTGATACATTGCGATTTTTTTTTTTGACATATCCTACCCGATCAAGTGGATTATTTCTACCTGAATTCTGTCCAAAACAATTGGGTTAAAAGTCGAGTAGAAAATCAGATAAACACATATTTTTTAGTTATTAATATTTGGATCATTTAACAATTTAATTAAGTAATCTGCATCAATTAAATAACACAATAAATCAATAACACTAAAGAAAATACAATAAATTTCGATAATACAAAAATAATTACAATAAAACACAACAAGAAAATCATAAACATCAATACATCATATATAAGAAAGCAAAAAATATCAAAAAAACATTAGGGTTTCTAGATTTTTGAATTTTAATTTTTAGTGATTAATCTAAAAATTATATATATATATATATCAAAACATAACAAGATGCGGAAGACATAAATCACAAGCTGTAGATAGATATAAGGAGTGGTGATTAAAATACAAATGAATTTTACTGAAGTAAAATCTTTATATTCACAAAATAAAGAAATTACAATTTATTGAAATTAACTTACAAATAGGTACTTACAAATAGGTTACTGAAGGTTGCTAGAGAAGAAGCTCTTCATTTGTATCATTATGAAGGCTACGATACAATATGAGAGTCAGGGAGAGAGAGTGTGTTGCTAGCTTATAATGAGTCTGTAAAGACTTAGTTTGTTAGGAAAGAATAAAACCCATATATAGGAGTAACGATTTCTGAGAGAATCTTTGCAATGATTTCTCTTTTGACAGTTATTGCTGCTTTAACTCTAGTAAAATGCTTTCACTTCTGTTTTTGATGGAAAAGTGAGAGTGAAATGTTTCTACTCTAGTGAATGCTGATTAAAGAGCCTGGTGGGTCCTTGATGTTGACTGGGAGTATTCTTTTTGTGGAAAAGCAGATTGATTGCTAATTGTCGGCTACTTTATTGAGGAAAAGGAGCCTTGTTGCTAGATGATTCCATCGGAATATGTAACAGACAACTTTTCTTTTCGAAGAAAGTAGTGAGTGAAGCTATCACACATAGAGATAAGAATCATGGAGTAGTGATATCTNCAAATTTCAATGATTTCCTGTATAAGGAAGTCTTTGGAACCACATACTAGTAGGTTGTTCACCCTACTTGTAATGACCAACAAACCACATACAAGTAGGGTGTTCACCTTACTTTACAGGTAAGAATTATGGTATTTCATTTTTCGAACGAACCACATACCGTAATGATTAACGAACCACATACAAGTAAGGTGTTCAGCTTACTTTACGGGTAGGAATTATGGTATTTCATCTTTCTACTTGATACATTGCGATTTTTTTTTTTGACATATCCTACCCGATCAAGTGGATTATTTCTACCTGAATTCTGTCCAAAACAATTGGGTTAAAAGTCGAGTAGAAAATCAGATAAACACATATTTTTTAGTTATTAATATTTGGATCATTTAACAATTTAATTAAGTAATCTGCATCAATTAAATAACACAATAAATCAATAACACTAAAGAAAATACAATAAATTTCGATAATACAAAAATAATTACAATAAAACACAACAAGAAAATCATAAACATCAATACATCATATATAAGAAAGCAAAAAATATCAAAAAAACATTAGGGTTTCTAGATTTTTGAATTTTAATTTTTAGTGATTAATCTAAAAATTATATATATATATATATCAAAACATAACAAGATGCGGAAGACATAAATCACAAGCTGTAGATAGATATAAGGAGTGGTGATTAAAATACAAATGAATTTTACTGAAGTAAAATCTTTATATTCACAAAATAAAGAAATTACAATTTATTGAAATTAACTTACAAATAGGTACTTACAAATAGGTTACTGAAGGTTGCTAGAGAAGAAGCTCTTCATTTGTATCATTATGAAGGCTACGATACAATATGAGAGTCAGGGAGAGAGAGTGTGTTGCTAGCTTATAATGAGTCTGTAAAGACTTAGTTTGTTAGGAAAGAATAAAACCCATATATAGGAGTAACGATTTCTGAGAGAATCTTTGCAATGATTTCTCTTTTGACAGTTATTGCTGCTTTAACTCTAGTAAAATGCTTTCACTTCTGTTTTTGATGGAAAAGTGAGAGTGAAATGTTTCTACTCTAGTGAATGCTGATTAAAGAGCCTGGTGGGTCCTTGATGTTGACTGGGAGTATTCTTTTTGTGGAAAAGCAGATTGATTGCTAATTGTCGGCTACTTTATTGAGGAAAAGGAGCCTTGTTGCTAGATGATTCCATCGGAATATGTAACAGACAACTTTTCTTTCCGAATAAAGTAGTGAGTGAAGCTATCACACATAGAGATAAGAATCATGGAGTAGTGATATCTAAGTCATCATAACCTTCATAGGGATCCTAAACATCTTGGAAGGGATCCATGGAGGGACTGAATGATGACTGGGATGATACATGTGAACTGTTTTGACTAGCTATTTGTTAAAGAAGCTTTTATACTAACTCAATGAGTTCATATGATTTCTTCTTGAGTTGCTTACTGGAGTCCTTGGAGGTGGATTTTTTCTACTTTTGCTGGTGATAGTTTTGCCGATGGTTCATCTGGGACTGAAACTTTGAGGGTTGCCATAACCTGTTTTGGTTGGGTTGCCGGACCATTACTGGTTGTTCCTGTAACCATGACTGGATATTCCTGTTGTACCTGTGCAATAACGAAACTATGCTGGAACTTTGTATCCATGAGACTTTGTATTTTTTCATAAATAATAATAGACTAGAAAATTGACTCTCATGTGTTACTAAGTTTGTAAATAGAAGAGAAGTAGGTCACCTGATCCTGAAGATCAAGTGGTAGGATTTCAAGCATGGGACCGTGAACCTGCCACCACTGTGAAAACCAGGCAGGAAGATGGCTTTTGAAATCCTTGCTAAACTGTATGAACCAAGAATGAGTGTAAGACTCATCTTGATAGGGGATAAGTTTAAACCATGACTCCTTGTAGTCATAGTAACTAAACTTTTTACTATGTCCAGGAAGATCTCGGAGTAAAGAAGGGTGAGATCTCCACTGTTTTGAGAGAGATGAGCTTTAGGATATATAAAGAATGATAAATAATTTTACTAGGATCTTTACTGTCTGGAATTTCTTTAATGAAAATGGATTAGGGAAAAAAAAGGATATCTGAAAAAACGTAAAAGCTTTTTCAGGGTCATGTGGGATAAAGGTCCATCTAGGCTCAAGATAAGCATTGACTATGTCAATTGGATTACTAAGGTGAGCATGAGCTGGTTCAATGAGAAATATATTATAGGTCGGGGGCTTATTAATATAATCCGTTTGAGGACCTTTGTAATTGGGCTGAGATTTATATGGGTTAACTAGTTGATTAGGTTTAGCTGCTGTAATGGGCATAGATGCTATTAGGCTACTAGGGGTAGCTTGTTGGGCCTGGTACTGGAATGTACTTGGGTTAACTAGGGAGTATTGGTTGTTGGTCTAACTGGATTACTAAGGGCTTGATAACGATTTTCTATTTCAATTAGGGGTATTTGACTGGGCAATTTACTGGGTTTTGGATTTGGGATAGGTAAGGCTAGTTGTTTTCAAGTATCCCTCCCGGGTTTGGAAGAGGAACCGAGTTTACTATTTTTCCTGTCCGTCATAAGGTTCCTGCAGAACTTCACGGGTTAGGAAATCAGGAATGTAGTTATTACTGCCTTTAATATATTCGATGTCAAAATTAAAAATACTTAAAATAGATTGCTATCTAGTAAAAATTTGCTTACTAGCAATGTTTTGTAAATTTTTTTCCAAAACATATTTTATTGATTTACAATCAACTCTTACTAAAAAATTTTGGTTTAATATATCATCATGGAATTTC